CTCCGCTCGCAGCAGCGCGCTCTTCGTCTCCAGCAAAACTCATCCCGATGTGGCTTCCCTCGAGGGGCAAACTCTAGAGTGTTTGCGGCCTACGCCACTTATTTATCGGCCGAGACTGTTTTGGTGATGTATTAACTTCACGAGAAGTCGACGACCGCCCTTCACACGGACGAAAGAGGGAGTGCTCAACGAGCGGCTCCCACAGCAAGGAGGGGCCCCGTGAATCATCGCGGTGCCCCCTACCAAACGGTAATCTTACCAGTCTGCGTGACACAAAATCATCCAGCACATGTATCCAACAACAATGTTCGCAGACCCACGAACACATCTGACCCGTGTGCCTGCAGGACGTGGCCGGAGTTGGCTACTTGGACGTCGAAATACCGCGGCTTCGTCATCCGCGGTCGGTCTTCTGCTGTACGCTCCGCGCGTTCAGTAGTTCGGGGGAACGCCTATCTGTATCTCTTGGACAGGGGGAGATTGTGTGCTTCCGGGCCGCAGTCACACCTAAAAGCCTGTGCTTTGAGTGCAGCATCGAACACGCGCCTGTCGCGTTGTGAAGAAGAGTTGTCGGGTCCTGGGGGGACTTCGATTGATTTTTCGTGCTGTCATGACGAAATCATCACCGTTCCACAGGACTCTTGAGTCAATCAAAAAATGCCCGGCCCTGGATTTCGGGAATTGTGAGACAAAATGCGCGAAGCTATAAGTTTTCACGCCGTCGATATGCTCGACGTCCTCGACGGAGTCCCATGTCCAGACCCTACGTCCGCCACTCCGGCGGAAGTGGCCAAGTGGCAAAGGGCCAATTTTCAACAATTCTCGATTATATTCTTCGGGACAGAAGGATCCGCCCACATCACCGTCAAACCGTTCACAGGCACAAAGGGAAACCCAGGAGACGGTGCAGGGGCGTGGAAAACTCTCGAGGATAGCTTTGATGGAAGTACAAAGGAAGCTCGCCGTGCGTGTCGGTATAAGTTGTTCCATACCACGATGAAATCTGGTGAAGACCCTTCGGACTTCCTAGCCAAAATGGACGATCTCCGCCTGCGTCTGGAGGACATGGGGGAGAAAATTCCTGACGAGAGCTATGAAGACGTGCTTCTGCGGGCACTGTCCAAGGAGTACTATTTCATACGACAGACTAGCCACAAAGACAGGACGTTCGGCCTCACTGAAATTCGCACAACAATGGTAAACATGTACATCGACGAACTTTCCAGGAAGTCGTCTGGTCCGTCCGTAGCTGGTCGTGGTGTCGCCATGTCGGCCGAATCGAGCAACGTCCAGTGCCGTAACTGTCAAGAGTTTGGGCACTATGCCAACGAGTGTCGGAAACACGGCAAAGGAAAAGGAAATCGACGGCAAGGCAAGAAGCCTTGGAAACGGAAAGCGGCGGAGACAAGTGGTGCTCTTACCACAAAACAAAAACGCACTCCGACGCCGAGTGCAAGAAACAGAAAGTACTCAGCCGGACACCGTCTGCCCAAGCGAACGTGATCGGAAGCGCACACGTGGGGATCGACCAAAGTTACCAATCTTTCGGCTCTACGTTCACCGCCGTCGACTCCAGCTCCAGTGCATCGGGAGGAGCATCTCCAACGTCACTTGCGGCACCAGAGGTTCCGTCCTTCTGCAGCTGAGCGGCGCCAGGAACAGGACAGCTCAAACGGGTTCTTTGGTGCTTTTGGCGTGACCTTTGTGGCTACGCCTTCTGCCCTGCAGGGTGCGCCTCCTTCACGTGGTTCATCCATCACTCTCATGGTGGATAGTGGAGCATTGCATTACTACCTGGATCCGTTCCACACTCCAGACTTGCATCGGTGCATGATCGACTACGCTACCCTAACAGTACCACGCCACATCTACGGAGCTGGCGACTATCAGCTGGAAGGGATTGCAACAGGCACAATCCACGGCATGGTCTCTGATGTCCATGGTCGCAAAATCGCCGCCAACTTCAAAGCATACATGGTTCCAAATCTGAAGAGTGCCTGAAACACAGTGTTGCCACCGTCTTCGACACTGTTAGACCGCGGTTGGAGGTAGGACACGCGGTACTATTTTTAAACTTCAAGGAGTGCGATGAGCTATACCACTTCACGATGGACCTCCCTGAAACGGGCGAGATCTCTGGTGTGGCTCTGCCGGTCAAGTCTGCTGCCCTATGGCATCGCCGCGTAGGACACGTCCACGGCAGGAGCTTGGACATCTTGCGAAAGGTACAGGGGAATGGTGTCGAGTACAACGGAGAGCTGAGCGCCTGCGACGTTTGCGCCGTCGGCAATAGCAAACAACAAAATCATCCCAAACGGGCATCGTACGACGCCTCCAGGCCGTTTCAGCTCGTCACCACAGACCTCATGGGACCATTTTCACCGCCGGCACTGGGAGGATTCCTGTATATCAAGAAGTTCGTCGACCAGCACATCAAGTGGAACGAAGTCTTCCTGATGAAGGAGAAAAGTGCTACAGTTGATGCTCTTCAGCTGTTCAACCAATCTGTCCTGACACCACATGAACTGCGGCTTGAATGTGTGCGGGCGGACAAAGGTGGAGAGTACACGAGTTGGGCTTTTTGCAAATACTGTCGTGATGTCGGAATCAAGTTACTGTTTGCGTCCACAAACACTCCTCAACGAATTGGCGCGAATGAACGGATCGGACGAACGCTAGCGGGTATGGTACGCTGTCTGCTTGCTGACTCTGGTCTACCGCACTTTCTCTGGGAAGAGCTCTTCATGACCGCTTCATATCTGAGTAACCGCTCTCCACACTCGGCTTCGGACAACGTGACACCCTTCAAGGCCCTTCATGGCAAGGAAGCCTATCTTGGCCACCTTTGGGCGATCGGAGACCCATACCAACAAGCTTGATGCTCGTGCCTGGGAAGGACGGCTGGTTGGCTACAGCGTCGACAGCAAATCTTTAATAAATTACAACCCGGAAACGAGGAGAGTACGCGAGAGCCGCAACGTCGTCTTCATCGAGACACCGTCGGTCATGCAAGAACCGGGCGTGGTGAGTGGGTTTAACGAGGGAACATTTTCGTACGACGATTCTGGGGATCTCATTCTCGCGACTTGCGCAATTGCATGTCACGCGTTGATCTAGATGACTCGTCTCCGGAATACCGCATGTCAGATGACGTGTCGGTGCGTTCTCTTCTCGATCAAATTCATGAAACAACTGCCCGAGACCGTCGGTCTTCGGGTGCTCCGTCTTCTTCTGCGCAACAATCCTCACCAGCTGCTGCTCCGGGAGATACTTCCACACCTGCTCAAGGGGAGGGTACTCCCACTACTGCACCTGCTCCAGCGGGAGGTAGTCCTGCGCGTGGTCGGACCTCCGGGTCTGCCCCTTCCACGCGTGGCAGGGCTACGTCAACTCCTCCTTCTCGTAACTTACGCTCCAGGTCTGCTCGCGCTGGGAATGTGCCTATGGCGAGAACTGTTCGCGAACTAAACAAGCTTGCCTACTACGCGAAGGGGGAGTTTCCCGACGTAGCGCACAAAGATGCCCAGCTTGGCTTTGTCGAGTACGCCTATGCAGCAACAAGCACCCAACCCAAACGTCGCTCTTATAGGGGAACGAGCAAGGTACCTGACACCTTCGAAGAGGCCATGGAGCTCGCGGAAGCAGACTTATGGAATCAAGCAGCGGAGAGGAAGATCAAGAGTCTTCAAGAGCCAAAGGTTTATACGCTCGTCCCGCTTTCTGAACAATCAAAATGTCATTGGTTCTAAATGGGAGTTCAAGGTCCAGCCCGACAGCACGTACAAGGCGAGACTGGTATGGATTGCGGTGGAACCTTCGCTCCTGCCTGCAGACTGCAAAGTGTGCGGATGGTGCTTGCCATTGCTGCCGAGATGGACTGGGAGGTACGTCGNATTGCGGTGGAACCTTCGCTCCTGTCTGCAGACTGCAAAGTGTGCGGATGGTGCTTGCCATTGCTGCTGAGATGGACTGGGAGGTACGTCGACTTGACGTCAAAACTGCTTTTCTTTATGCTGACGTAGAGGAGGACGTGTTTGTGAAGATGGCACCTGGCTTCGAAGCCAGAAACGCATGTTCGTATATGGCCTTTACTTGGAAGGGGAAGACGTTTTATCTCTTGTATTAGACACGCAAGGGGAGTAGGGAGAAGTGAAGCCCTCTTTGGCCTTCGAGGGGTCCCCGCACATGCAACAATTTCAAGGTGTACATATGCCCCATCTGCGTGCCCTCTGTTGTTGCCGGTAGATCTAACCAGTCCGTATCCAAACACACGAACACCCTCCCCGGTTTGCACACGAATGGCAAACCTAACGTGGGGCATGGATACCCCTGATCTACCAAAGGGACTCAAAACAACAACAGGCTCGAGGGAAAACCCGGCCAACCGGATCAAAAACCCTCGTCTTACACCCTAAATATAGAAAACCGTCGCTATCACGGAGGATTCCAACGGCCGCGCTTCCAAGACAAGACCAAGGCAGGACAGATTGAACCGGTCACGCTGATTATACTCCCGAAGCAAAGCTCTCGGCGTTTCTAGGCTCCAGCCGCGGGTGACGCGCCGGCACAACGCTTCCTGCGTGACGTACCATGGTCATATATGCCAAGTGCTAAAACCACCACATAAACCAAACAGAACAAGAGAACACTACATCGGTAGGTTCATCAGAGCCTTCCGGTGGTACTCTAACTTCTCTCTGCCAAGGACCTTGGTCAGCATGTCGGCGTGCTGCTCTCCAGTCGGAACATACTCTGCAGTGATCTTGCCCGACTCGAATAGCTCGCGAATGAAATGGAACCGCACGTCGATGTGCTTGCTCCTCGCTGAGCTGAACGGGTTCTCGATTAAGGCGAGAGCCCCCTTGTTGTCCTCAAGGACCTTGATCTTCGCCCCACTCGTCTCGGGCGCTATGAACGACAGAACGCCACGCACAAACAACGCCTCCTTCACGCCCTCCCCGGCTGCCATATACTCTGCTTCCGAGGTCGACTGAGCCGTCACTGGCTGCGTCTTGGTGGATGCACACACTACGGTACCACCTACGGTCACAGCTAGCCCGGTCGTAGAACGCCTGTCTACTTCGCTGTCAGCGTAGCTGGCATCGACAAACACATTTAGGTCTAGTCCTGACCCCCGTACGTAGGTGATGCCGAAGTCTTTCGTGAAGTTCAGGTAGGACATGATCCGCACAAGCGCGTTCCATATCCTCCCGGTGGGTGAGTGGGCGATCTTCTGGAGCTTGTTCAGAGGCAGGGCGATGTCTGGCCTCGTCAGCTTCGTCCACATCAGGCATCCGATCGCCTCCCTCACAGGCTTATCCACCGCGGGCTCGTCATCTCTCTTCGGCCCTAGGTCGGCATCGGTAGCAGCAGGGATGAAAGCGATTGTGGTCACATCAAACCGCTTCAGCATACTCTCAATGTATGCTGTCTGGGACAGCTTGGTGATGCCGTTTTCTACATCCATGACGATAGCACACCCGTCGTACCAGGTACACTCCCCCAGATCTTTCACCGGAAACTTCTTGTTGAGGGAAGCGAACAACTCCTCTCGGTCTCCCTCGTCTGCCGCCACTAAGATGTCATCAACGTAGATCACGATGAGGCCTACGACCTCTCCATCCACCACCTTCCGGAAGACACACGGGTCAACCCTGCACTGCTCGTATCCATTCTCGATGAGGGCATCGGCAGCTTCAAACCCCCACTCACGGCCACTCTGCTTTAGGCCATACAGGGCACGCTCAATCTTGACCACCTTGCCGGACATGCTACTACAGCCTTCCGGGAAACTGAGGTATATTTCTTCTCTTAGCTTAGCGTGGATGTACGCTTGCTTCACATCCCAGTGAGCGAGTTTCTTGCCCTTTTCAGTGGCTACGGCAATCACCGTCTTGATAGACGCTGCAGACGGGCACGCTGAGGATGAGTGGCGGAAGTCGATGCCGGGGATTTGAGAGAAACCCCGCGCAACCATACGGGCCTTGATGTCGACTATCAGGCCCTTCTCATTCGTCTTCCAAGAGAACACCCACTTTGAACCTATGGCCTTCCGCCCCTCGGGCAGCTCCTTGACCTGGGTAAGGTTCCAGTCTTGTCGTGGCCATCCATCTCTTTCTTCATGGCCACCTCCCAGAAAACCTCGTACTTGGAACACATCACATCCTTGTATGTCATCGGCACTGCTTCCACATCTCTCGGCTTCTGCCCGATTGGCGAGGTCATACTTCGCTGTGGGTCTGGGAGTGGTTGCGAAGACCCGCTGGCGTCGACCTCGGCCCCGAACGCCTGCTGTTCCGGGCCCAACACCTCCTGCATCTCGCGCCTGTACATCTCCTCCATACGGCGTGTCTCCTCCTCGTCCCACTGCTCCTTCACAAGCGAGTTGCAGATGTAGTCCTCAACAATCCCCGTCCCACCAGTTTCCAGGGTGGTCGCCAGCAATGCCTCTTCCGGGTCCGGTGTTTCTCCGGGCCCTGGCATCTCCCCGGCACCTTGCATCTCCCGGGTCTGCTTCCGCGTGCGGCCACTCTCAAGCCCATGGCGCAGCGGGCCAGCGTTCGAGGCGCCCCAGAGGAGTTTCTTCCCTTCTAGCCCGCGGGGGTGGCGGTCGTCGGCTGGATCATACTTCAATTCCTCGAGGTTCTCGGAGTCGCCGGGATCACCATCGCTACCGCCGTCCCCACCTGGGTCGCCGGACTCTTCGCTGCCCGGGCCGCCGGCACCGCCGGCTTCACTTCTGCTGCTGCTCGGGCTGCTGCTGTTGCTGCTGCTGCTGCTGTCGGTGGGGCTGTCACTGCCTCCGCCGAAGTCGCCCCTTCCCGAAGGGGGCAACGGGGGAACGCTGCCTCCGTCCCCCGGAATCCCGTTGCCGGGTGCCGTCGGCGCCTCCTCGCGCACAAACGGCGTCGCTTGCCCTGGCCCACGAGCCTCCATCACGTCGAGGTCGGACTCACTCTCTGAGTCTCTCTCCACCCACCAACCTTGGCGTGATGCATCCGCTCTGCTCTCGCCCTCCCCGCCCTCCTCGTCATCTGCGAGAGGTAGCAACTGCGGGGGAGCGGGCGATGCAGCGGGCACGTGGCGCCAGGTGAAATTGCGGGGGGTGATTACGGTTCCAGCTTCGGTTAGCATGCGAACGCAGTCACGGGGGTGATTGTGGGCAGGACCAAGGTACCATCCGTTTTCGTCCTTGGGTTGCAACTTTGCTTTCTTCTCGACTTGAACACGACTGGTTTGAGAAATGGGTATGTAGACCCGACAGGCGGTGGGGAGTCGTGGAACATCTCGTAGGCGGATTTGTCTCCCTCGTTTGATTTAGTGGCGGTGCAGTTCAGCTGATGGCATGCACACGAAATGGCCTCGGCCCACAACCCGGGGTGATTCGGTGCGTCGGGAAACAGTTGCGTCGCTTGGATGCGTGACGCAAGCGCGGCAT